AATAGACATTATTCGTAAACTCCTGGGAAACATGATGCGAAACGACCCCCAAAAAAATATTTTTGCGACCCATCTGAGGGTCGCGACCCAGTGTTTTGGAAACAATAATATAAAGTATTCCAGTGAAAAATGATGGCAGAACTGAAACATTTTAAACTTACACTACACCTGCATGCATGATTATGGAGACATTGAATTGACGTAACTAACCCACCAAAGCTCCCAATTTTATACTTCAAATTTATCGCATTAATTAATGAAAAAGTAAGCAGTAGTAGTAGTAGCCAAAAGTCGGCAAAAAATAAATAAAATTTCTCCGCTCACGTCATCAATATAAATACAAATACATTTCCAGGACGTGAGGTCCCGTCCTACCTCATGAATTTGTTGTTAATAACCGATCTGTGAAACGGGACATGCGTCCATGTGCTTTAAAAGAGCGCTGCGTTCGTTTTACGTTCACCGCGCCCATAAAGTTGACGAGGGTCGTATCGATACGACCGCCACGATGATTACTTTTCTAAGTGCTCAGATCGCCCTCGGTGCCTTTTCCCCCGACTCATTTTCCATATGCTCAATAATTATTCATGCACTATTGAAGCCAAATACAGCACATTAGCTAATAGGAGGCACGGAGTGGATGTCAGGCTCAGGCCAAATCCATGAAGGAGACAGAGTGAAAAAGCGTCACCCAAGGTTTAAGCTGAAACTACTAATGTACGTTTTACCTGTGGATAAATATGTATTTAATGCTATGCCACGTTTTACCTGTGGATAAATATGTATATGTATTTAATGCTACGTCAGTACATAAATCATTTTAGCCAACTAATGCATTTGTCAATGTTAAAGTTGGCAGGCACATATTAGCTATGCTTTACCAGTAAAGCTTTTCGCTCATATTTTTTAATTGTCAATAATAGACCAATAAAATGCCAAAAGAGCATTTCGCTAGCATTGCGCTAATGTTTCCTTAACCCCGAGTAAATCACTAGTGCGTGCAGGTATTTTATCAGTTCTCAACTCGAAGGGCTCTTCATCACATTCAGTCAGTGCACCTCAGTTAAGAACGTCATATTATTGATAGCTAGTGAGGCCCAGATGTGGGAAGGCGGTGGGCCGAAGTGGCCCACGCACCAGGGGTTTGAATTCTTTGTCTTTAATAGCATGTAATAGTTTTCTGTGATCATTATAACAGATTCCATCATTCAAATTTAATTACATTTTTCAACATGCAATAAAATTAACAATGCATGTCTAAGGTCATTGGGTCATTCCAGTAGTTAAATATATGCATTATGTTTTTAATGTGTTGAATCTCAAGATATACGT